ATTTGATTTGATTAGAATTAATTTAATTTGATTTAACTTGATTTTATTTTAATTCATTTTATTTAATTTTATTTTAATTTTTTTATCATATTTTTTTTTATTTATCTTTATTTGAATTTATGTGATTTTATTTTATTTTATTTTACTTAATTTGAATTTATTTGACTTTATTTGATTTTATTTTATTAAATTTTATTTTGTTTTATATTAGGCTCTTTGCATCGTTATTTACAAAGTAATAGTGATAGAAGTGTATGTTTAAAATTTTTTTTATATACCTAATATATGTTATTATTAACCTCAAATACCTAGCCTTAACAAGAAACCGCTAGGCAAATGACGATTCTTGTTATATTACAATACGCACCTGATGTGTAGTGGGCAAAATTCTTACATGTACATAGTATAACTACTACTCGATTCAACAGGTTAACAGTTTTTAGGTTATGACTCTACGTATGAGACAAATACTGTATTGAGTTCTTATCATTGGCTAAGGAAGATTCAAAATTTTTCAATGTAGAAATGATTTCGTTTCTGAACCACCTGCCATATCTGGCATTCTTTAAAATTAAGGATAATGATAAGTTTATAGACTTGTTAGAATGGTTCCCTTTAACTTAAATAGGTAATCATCCCTTTCCAGAGGGAACCTATTTGTGAAAAATATGTTGCTAACTTTTATCTTTAATGTGTTCCCTTAAGTCTGTCGTGCGGACTTATCCGTCTTCATCCATGGTATCACAACAATTATTTGTTTGTGCTCAAGTGAATTTTAGTACACAAGATTATCACTCAACTGATATATGTTAGTGTAAATAACATAAATTGTTTGTGTAAATAATAGATTCTCTGTACAAACAACTATTAAATAGATTATAAATGCAATAAACAACAATTTGATTAATAAATAAAACAAATATTTATTTGACTACAATCTCTTTAAAAAAAATCAACAAATTTAATGAACAAAGTGAGCAGCATGCACCACTGGAACCGAAGCTATAATTGGAGCAATTACAGGTTTACGTAGATGTACTTGGTTATGGCTTTGGTAAGAGATGGGTGCTGGAACAGCTTTGAGAACGGGCACTACAGGTGCATACGTTTTAACAACTGGAACAACTGGAGCAACAGTTTTAATCACAGGTGCAGCTACATACTGTGTATGGACAACGGGTGTAGCTACTGTTTTCACTACTGGCACAATTGGAGCAGCAATAGTTTTAACAATTGGACTCACAACATGAGCCTCACTATGAACTTGTGTGAAACTTTGATGAGAAACAGCAGATGGTGCACTATGCACGACAGCTCCCACTTTAGCTACAACAGGTTGAACAAATCCTGGGTTAGCCGCGGCAAAGGAAATTAAGGCGCAAACAACAAACTGAAGATATAAATATAAATTATTATAAATAAATGATAAATAGGTAAAAATAAAATTTTACTTACAAATCTGAACATTTTTATTGAATTCTTTTGAATGCTGTTTAATAGTTGAAGTTAAGAGATTATTAGTCAACTGATGATGAAATCTAAAATTGCAATTTTTATATATAGTAATTTTTCACAAAATTTTTATTTGCAAAAATAAAAATGCCCTTCATATAAACTTAAACTAAGTTTAGGAAAAATATATCTTCAAATATAAGAAAATACTGCTATAATGTTTATAATTTTTCGTTACTTGCAGTGCAAAATTTTTGTTAAAATAATATTCAGAAATCAACAATGAAATCAGTTTCTGTTATTATTTACACAATACTCAATGAGGGCTTAAATATTTGAAAAGGTTGGCATTAGAAACAAAAAACCTACATTGAACTTGAACTGTTCAACTCCTTAGTTTCATTAAAACAAAACCAAAACATAAAATATGAAGCAAAATCATGGTATGGAAATTAGCACCAAAGTATCTCATGCGTTACAAAACTTCATAAACTAATCGAAACTGACTGACAGGCACCAATCCCAATGGGGGCATTAAACGCTACACCCATTTTTAAATCCTATAAAGTGACTAGACCCCAATCATTAAGGCAAAGTTATTAAATCATAAAAATACGTGGTTTAATTCACGTTTTGATATTTTCTTGAGTCTAAGATGAATTGACAAATGCTGCATCGCGGTTTTTGTGTTTGACAAAGATCGATTTTTTACAAAAGTATCCGAAAATTGAATAATTCAAAATTGAATAAATAAATTTGTATAAAATACAAAATTCAGTTAATTGAAAACCTATGCAAACACCAACCTTCGGTAATTGTAGTACATAACAAGCCGCAACTAATTTGCTTGTTGCCAGTGATAAGGTAGCTCATGAGTTTTGTGCGTAATAATTACTCTAAGCTATTATGTCAGCTTGAAGCGTTGATGATGAAGGTCAGTAAGCCGGTAATATATGTCAATTGTAGGGACTCAAGTAGTTTAACGTCTGCTTTGGCTCTTAACAATAAAATTATGAATTGAAAACTAAGTTTTTTGCGATGTTTAGACGTAGAAGATAATATCATATAGCAGCACATTTTTGTATAAAAGTGTAGAAACTGATTGCAAAGATCAACAGTTTGGATTTAAACTTTGACAACACAGTTTCAAAACATACCAAAAAGCAATATGTGCAAATCTGTAAGTATCTTTATAAAATTCCAACAATTTTTATTTAAATTTTTATATCCTTAATAATCCCTTTCTTACAGTACGCCATTTTCGGTCTTCTCTTCATTGCCGCCGCTGCAAGTGCTGGTCTTATTGAAACTCATCATGTAGTGGAACCAGTCGTAGCTAAGGTTGGTGCCGTTGTACATAGTGCGCCATCTGCTGTCTCTCACCAAAGTTTCACACGTGTACACAACAAAGCTGTCGTAGAATCTGTTGTTGCTCCAATTGTAAAAACCACTGTTCATGCTGCACCAATTGTACCAGTTGTAAAGACTGTGGAACCAATTGTTCACTCTGTACATGCTGCTCCAGTCGTTCCAGTAGTCAAAACTATTACTCCAGTTGTACATTCAGTACATGCTGCACCAGTTGTACACTCAGTGCATGCTGCACCAGTTGTACACTCAGTGCATGCTGCACCAGTCGTACATTCAGTCCATGCTGCACCAGTCGTACACTCAGTTCATGCTGCTCCAATTGTTCCAGTAGTCAAAACCTTAGAACCAGTAGTACCTGTAGTAAAAACAATTGCACCCGTTGTACACTCAGTACATGCTGCACCCGTTGTACACTCAGTTCCAGTTGTTCACTCAGCACCTTTAGTGAAAACTCTTGTACCAACTGCCCATATTGTTCACCATTAAAGTATCTACGCTTATGATATGAACCGATCCACTAAATGATTATATTAATTATATATATAAAGCAATTGTAAAATTTATAATTTGATATAAACCTGCTTTATACAAGAACCATGCCATGTTAAAAATTATGTTTTGCTTTTTATGTATAGAATCAAATACCATTAAAAGTGTCGAATATTTCGAAAAAAAACACCTATGTATTACTTTTTAACTATTATTATATATTTAACGACAACTGCTAAGTGTTCGATCCATTAATTTTGTAATATATTTAGTAATATATATTATATATATATTACATTATTTTTAATATTATATATAAAGATTTCATGATTCGATCTTAATGATAGATCTATTAATTCTGCAGATAGTCACCGTTTATGGTCTACGGAATTTAAACGACTAATATCAAACCCATCAATACCTATGGAACCTTCGTCTGCTGTCATAAGACAAAAGAATCACTCAACCTCGGGAAAGAATTGATATATTGAGACTTTTATGCTTAGATGTTTTCGAAGCATTCAGTAGAGCACCATAAAAAAGCCCAAGGAAATTTTTTCAAATTTTGCCACTATGTACGTTGGTTTAGACTGTGTCTTTTCACTATAGATACTATTGAATTTTGGATAAAATTAAAGAGAGTTGTTGTGGTTTGGTCAGAGACTGTTTTGAAATCAGCTACTGCTTACATAACACTACCTTACCAGAGAAAGCTAATAATATGAATCAGTAATTACACAAAGAAAGCCCAAAACTGGAGCGGCTATCTACTAAAGTGACTAAAGAGACTATCTCCTTGATGCGAATTCCGATGTGTGAACTGTTTAGAAACATTTGAAAATTTATAATTGCGGTAACAAATGACTTGTAGACTATTCTCGACGACTGTGAGGTAATAAGATCTTTATGGCCCAGAGTAGACAACAACACTTTTGGGTTTTAGCAAACCAATTGTTTGTGAATTTAGTGAAGTACACAGTGCACAGTGTCATTGCAACAATGTTTTAACAGTCGTATATTCCGTGAAGTAGAGTTGACGTTATGAAGAAGCGATTAAAATTATTTGTGACTTTGTCTGGAACAAACAGAGGAACAAACTTTAAGGTTTCGATTATCGTTTCATCGCTAACCCGACAGCGATAACTAAAGTAGACTTGTTGGGTATCCTGAATAATATCTGAAAGACCAAATGGTTTATCAAGCACCACACCAATAGAACAACAACTATTGTACCTCTCGGCAGCTTTGTGGGCATTAGAATGGCCACCAGATGTGTCCGCGAGGAAGTACTGATATATCAGCATGCGCTGACCCAAACTTACAGTTCAATTATGGTGTGACAGTATTTTGTTTATGACAAAGTATAGGTCTTTAAGTTGTTGTCTTCACCATTTACAAGAAATATTGACCATTTATTTATTTATGTAAGTAATAAATACTTACTTACTTAATGTAATTATTGTACTTAAAAAAGAAAAAAAAAACTAAGATAGTGGTTAAAAAAAAGATTTCTAACTCTTATTCAAAATGGTATATATGGGAAAAAATTTGTGAATTGGAGTTCAACTAAAAGTAATGTGATTTTACTTTACTCTAATGTTGAAAACTATTAAATTTCTGAACCAATAATTATTAACAGAGCAGTAATTTTAATACGAACTATTCTATCAATAAAATATCTATAGGAGATAAAGTCTGCGTGCTTTAGAAAGGATTAAAACAACTGACAATCGCACCTACATTATTAACAACTTTCAATCAATAAGCTTTAGAATTCTATTTTTTAGTACTATACCGGTGGTAATTGAAGAAACTGGGCTATTCACAAGCCCCTGATCAGAAGAAAAGATATTCTAGGTTGCAAACGCCTGGTTCTTATGGTTCTAATGGGTTAACCATAGTAAAAAATATTGAATAATGCACTTGTAGGAAACCGTTGAGTTTGATTCGTTATTTCACCATATGATATATGTATATAAAAAAAGTGGTAAAAAGAAGCACATTTAGATATTTAACGATTGATTATAATTTTTACACTACTTTGAAGGAAACTAAATATTTATAATTTATTTTATTTGGAATTCAAATTTTTTATTTTTCAAATTTTTTTAGTGTTTTTATATTTCTAACATTTTTCTTTATAAATTGATATGGGAATGTTGCCAGTTTAATGGTGGATGGTATATGCAGCTGGAACAATAGTTTTTACTAAGGGGGCAGTGTGCACAATTGGCACAGAGTGTACAACTGGTGCAGCATGTACGGTATGTACAACTGGAGCTGCATAGGTTTTAACAATTGGTACAGAGTGTACTACTGGAGCAGCAGCAATGGTGTGTACAACTGGAGCGGTGTGTACAATAGGAGCAGCGTGCAATAAAGGAGCAGCAGCAACTGTCCTTACTACGGGAACAACAGGAGCGGCAATAGTTTTAACGACAGGCACAGCAGTTTCCACAGTCTTAACAACAGGCACTACTGGTTCAACAGTTTTAACAATAGGAGCAACTGGTTCAACAGTTTTCACTACAGGAACAACGGGCTCTACAGTTTTAACTACTGGAACAACTGGAGCGGCATGTACGGAATGAACGACTGGTACAATTGGTGCAGCATGAACAGTGGTTTTAACAACTGGAGCAACAACAGATTCTACGACAGCTTTATTGTGTACACGTGTGAAACTTTGGTGAGATACAGCAGATGGCGCACTATGCACAACGGTGCCTACTTTAGCAACAACTGGTTCCACTACATGATGAGTTTCAATAAGGCCAGCACTTGCAGCGGCGGCTATGAAGAGAAGACCGAAAATGGCGTACTGTGAAGAAAGAAACACATTTTTAATAATAAATATAATTTTTAATTAAATTAATTTCCGTTTAATTTACCGATTTGAACATTTTGGTTTTGATTTTTATTCGTGGCTAGCAGGAAGCTCGAACTGAAACTGTTTGTGGTTAACATTTTGATAGCTTTTATATTTGTCACCAAAAAAATTTTTTTAGCCTAAAATTTCAATTTCATTGAAAGTCTGTAAAAATATAATAGATAAATACAGAGCTTTTGTATTGGAATACAGAAATTGTGTCATTAATTATTTAATTAAATAAAAATAGTTTCTAAAATTAAAAATCTAGTTTTGTTAAGTACGTAAAGTATTTCGAATTGAAATTTCTTTAACAAAAAAAAACGTCAAGTCATATCATCGATACATGCAAATACATAATTATTTTTTATTAGATTTTTATTTTTAATATACTTGAATCCATAACTCTGGACGTAATACCATTAAAAATATTATTTGACTTGCTGTGTTCATGTACATAAAATTTACCATTTTTCAATATTTTTTATTTATTCAATAAATTTTAAGCCTCTTAGTTTATAAACGGTAGCAATTTTTTCATGCCAACTTGTAGTGGCCCATGACGCCAATACGCCAATAGAGGGGTCCATTACGCGCTAATTGCTTACCCGCTGTGCGGATTTCTCCTGAGGCGCATAAAATTTGATTTAACCTTAAAGTTAATTGATTTATATTTTTGATATGATTTTATGGTTTGATTAGTCTTTTTTCCTATGTTACTGGATGTTCATTGTTTGGTGTGGGGTTCAAGTTCAATGCTGCAGTTTTAATAAATATTGGGCTTTAATATTCAAAACTAGCTTCTGTTTATTTTAATTACAAAATTTCAAAATAAATTTTTGCTTATTGAAATTGCGCACAAAGCAGGTTGTTGACCCTGCAAAAACTTAATTCATAGTTGTAAATTGTATCAGATACTTAGTAGTATCTAGTCTTACATGTATCTATATGCGGTTAATAATTTACTATAAATTGCCGATAATATTTATGTTTTATTATCATTTGACACTCTTGCAATAGACAAGTCACAACACTTAAATCAAAAGCAAAATGTTCAAATTTGTAAGTTCGAATATAAATATTTCATAAAATATATTAAATAGCCTATCATCACATCCTAGGTATCTTTCTTTGCCTTACTTGCCGTAGCTGCTGCTGCACCTGGTTTAACGCATGTTGCTCCCATTGTGCCTGTAGTGAGAACAATTGCATCTCCAGTCGTGCACACATATGCTGCACCTAATCTAGTGAAGACTGTACATGCTTCTCCAATTGTGCCAGTTGTTAAGACTATTGCCCCAGTTGTTCCAGTAGTGAAGACTGTTCATGCCGCTCCTATAGTCCATACTGTTGCTGCTACTCCAATTGTTCACTCTGTGCCTGTAATCAAGAGTTATGCTGCTCCTGTGCCAATAATAAAATCAGTAGTACCAGTCGTACATACAGCACCTATTATTAAGAGTGTTCTTACTGCTCCAGTTGCCCATATAATTCATTAAGCAATACATTGAAATTAATTTGTTTTCTTTTTGTACGACTTTTTGTACGAGTACGACTTTAATAATCAAATAATTTTTGAAAAATTAAAAATAAAATTTATATTTTTTTAATTATAAATAATTACTGAAAAAGCTATTATCAATAACTCTTACACGAATATCGTGTGCATCAATAATACATAATTATTATTATGTATCGTACCAGGAAAGACTGAAATGCTACTTTACATAAAAAAGGTAAATATATATAGGCATTTACCTAATTAGGATTTTCTAAAAAAATTATTTTATGTTATATTAGTCATTCAAGACTTTATGACATTAAGATACATATATCTTAAACTTTTTATATAAAGTTATAAAAAGAAATTGTTAAAAATTGGCATGCTTTTAAATATAAGATTAACATTTTTCATATTTATCAGAAAAAGAATTAGTGGCATTTATTTTTGGAACTGTAGACGTTATCAGGGTGGTCCCGATTGAACGGCATTATTTGAGTAATATACAGCAAATAAAACTTTTATCCAAAACATCATATGTTCGGTTAAAGGCCTGCCATTTAACAGCATGGATCGCCTAATAACTACTGATTTTACAAAAATTGTGACAACTTACTATAAAAATGGTGATGATGTTTATATGAAATTTTTTTAAATTACGGGGTTTATTCAAAATTTAAAATCATTAACACCAAGTTTTGAATACTTGATGGATATATCAACAAACGCAATTGTTACTTCTGGGACAGTAAACAACTAAAATTATCTGCCAAAAAACCATAACATCATCTGGGAACTGGGTCTAAAGTACGATGACCATACTTTTTCTAACAATACGAAAGTATGACAAAAACAAACAAACTCAGCTTTTCGAATTGAGTTAAAAATGTCATCTATTCAAAATTTCCTAATATCTGACAGCGATAAAACCACCCGAAGTAGTATTTATACAAAGTAATAGTATTTTATCCAAATAAAAGGTGAACAATCACAAAGACTAGTGGTCACATTCCATCTTATTGAAATGATAATGTCATGGTGATCCGTGTCTCTATTCTATATCCCTTTTGCAAAAACGTAGCAGCTTTTAAGCTTAGTGGTTTCACAGAGTCACCACTACATCGAAATCTTTTGCTTTAAGTCCACTTTTCTATAAGAGACTTAGTTGTTGTGCAACTTTTTTCACAGAATTTAATGACTGACCCAAACTTTTCGAGCTGTGATAAATTTCGATGTGATATCTCTGCATCCAGGAAGCACTACCGTGTTTTTACTTGCAAAACACTGAATAATGTTACAGCTATCAGTTAAGATTTTTGAACTTCAAAGTGAACAATCCTTTAATAACTACTTGACTATCTTTGAAGATATAGATATGTGCTCCTTTAAGCTATTTGATAAGGTTAGGTAAAGCGCAGATCATAATGACGCGAAACTACGATTGTCTCCAGATTGTCTCCAGAAAAGAGAATGCAGTGTTTGGATGATATTAAAAATGTTTGGATGATATTTGCTGATATTAAAAACATCACCGTCTTCATCACCGATATGTGTTTATACATTTCTGGTCTCGAAACAAAGATTTCTACATAAGTTAGTTGATCTGATATAATCTTCTCACGATACTTTTAAGCGCCTATACTTTAAAAAATATTATTTCAAAAAATTGTAGTTTTTGTATTAAAGCGATATTTTTAAATTATATGATAACAACATTTTGATCTGAATATAACAAAATATAATTTTTGAGCAAATAATGCTGTTGAAGTTTGTTTATCATAAAACTAGCTTAATAACTTTATAGTCATGAGTAGCACTTAAATACAGTGAATCAATAATTCTAGTTGTCCAAAAAAACTATTATTCATTTATTCAAATAAATTCTTAGAGTATCAAAAACTCAATCTTATTTCTATATCTCAAAACAAACATAATACAAATAAAGTTAAAAAATTCAGGAAAAAAAGCAAAAAAAAACATCTATTGAGTCTACTATGTACTTATATAAATTATATATTATATATAATATATGTATATATTATATAAATTATAGAATATATATATTAATATATATATAATATAAAATAAACATATTTATATATATAAACACATACACAATATATGTAAATATTTGGGATATATCTCTCACTATGTCATAAGCACTCAGATAATCCATGATGTAACTCTTAATAAAGTTAATATACACTTCAAAATAGTTGCCCACGATAAGTAATAAGAAGAATTTATTGCAGAACTATATTGTTTAAATTAGAAACTAATCGATGATGTTGTAAATAATCGACTTGCTTAAAACTTTAATCCGCCAGATCGCGTTGCAAGAACAAAACTAATCTAAAACTAAGCGAATTTATTCAATTGCTTAAGCGTCGAGTTTGATTCTTAAAGCTTAAATCCAACACTATAAATCTAATATCTAATTTTATTAGTGTGTGGGTAATTAAACTCAAACGAAACCGGCATTTGCGACGATCACTTGAGATATGCAAACACTTTTCTAAACAACTTTAAAACAAAGTTCATTGACTGAAAAATATTTACGAACTTCTTTATCGAAAAGAACGAAAACGCAGAAGGTTTATATATTACACAATAGTAAAAATTTTTTATTCAAATATGTTTTTAAATTTATTGCGGTACATAAATAGGCGTTACATTTAAAAAGTCGAAGTTATCGCGCACCTTTGCAGTACGATGTACAGTATGATTTAAATTTAACGGCTCCACATACCCCAAAGATCGACCCATTGGTGCGATAACAAACTTCGTGTATTCGTGAGAAGATCCCTGATAGGAAACAACAGATGGAGCTGCATCTATAACAACAGCTGTGGCACGCGTCACCGGTCCCGCTTCACACAGACTACAGCAAAACATTTGCAGCACTGAGAGCAAAAAAAATGCAAAGCTTAGCTGAAAGCAAAAACAATTATTAATAATTACACTAATTTTATATTAATTAAATAATTAAACAATTCACTAATTTATGAAGTAATACAGTAAATTTTTATTTACCTACCAACTTCATTTTCGCTTCACTCCATATGAAATACTGGAAGTTAAGACAGCGCTCAACAATCGCAAGTACACTCAGCCAAAATGGCAGAAATAACTTACCAACAATGTTATTATAGTTTTTGTTTTTCATTTTTTTATATATATTTATTTATAAAGAAATATATATACAATCACATATTTTAAATAAAAATCATAAAGCAATACATTAACATTAACGCGTAAACTTTAACGTCGTTGGCATAAATTGTGGGAGTGCAGAAAAAAGATATTGCCAACATTATTACAGACATCACTCTGAGACTGAATCCATTCACAATTTTTTATATAAAATTAAAGCAAATACAACAAGTAAATAATATATTTAACAAAAATCATAGCATTCGATTTTACAATAGTGAAGTAAAGTAAGCATATACAACGACTTTGTTATGAGCTAATGTCTATATGCTAACGATCTTTCTCTACCTAGCAGTGAGAGTACTAACACGTTGACTGCCATATAGAACAAATTAATACGTAGCAATATTTACCCTCGGGGCATAATCGGACTTGTGTATCAAATTTTTACAAATAGATTCAAGTAGAGTAGAAGTGCTATGACCTGATGTTAAACTTTTTTAGTTTTAGTTTTTGATAAAAATTCCAGTGTATGGAAATGTACTACATTACCATTTATTTTTGAAGTGTGTTAGTCTATTTTATATAAACAAAAATACAAAGGTTAGAAGCTAACAGAGAATAGTGTGGCCAGGGGGTGATAACTTAGGATTTTTGAGTGGTAATCAATTTGTTAATAATGTAAAGATTAAAATATATTTTGTTCTTACATTAACTACAGCAGAACACATTCATTGGTTAACATGCTTAAAACAAGTTAGTATTATGTACTTATAGGATCACTCTTCCATTTATACATACATTACGCATTTATACATAAAAGTTTTCCGATCTCTTTCTCTGCTGCTTAATTTGATTATTTTCATTAACAGTTGCTTTGCAATATTGATTATATTTTCTTGATGGTATTATCATAAGGACGTCCCAAATTATCTTAATAAAAAACCAGTATCATTATTTTGCTAATTAATTACTTTAATTTTCAAGAAGTACATATAATAGTATATATATTACATTCATACCTTATACTTAAAAGTAATATATGTTTTAGTTTCATTATCATTCGATATTTAAGAAAAAATTTTTGGTTCCAAAAGTTAGCAATTATATAGACTTGATAAGGCATATTATTTTTAATTATTTCAATTGATACGTAGCTTTACAGTGTTAAACCTTTATTTGAATATCCTTAAAATCAGGAACTCCGTTTTTCCTGAGTTGACGTATCCATTTTGTTTATCAGAGAAACAAATTTCAAAAACCAACTTTCATATCAAAAAGTTCAATCCAATAGTTAATAATAAGAAATTAACATAATTTACAATTTTAAAAATTGTCTATTATGAATCAGATCCATAGGATTCCAAAAATAGACAAAAAGAGCTTGAAAGAAAAGGAAATATGCTTAACAGTTTTTCTAAACATTTGTTAAAGTCTGTCATTGAAGATTAATAACTTTCTATCCACAATCATATTTTGATATATTGCAACAAACCCATCAAACGGTTATTTTGAAATTTGGAGCAAGCATCAAGAGAATACTGTGAATACAAAAAATATTCGATATATATCAAATTCATCATCAAATAATAAAGTCACACTATTTTAATTTAAACATATTTCGGAAAAAAACAAAGTATTTACATATGACAATATATTGCATAAACTAAAAGTCAGTAATTGGTACGATATATAAAATATCACCAAAACAAAGAATTATTACTTACTGGCGTCACTGTGAATAAAATTTGTTTAGAGAATAATGTCACCAAAGATTTTTGGTCTATTTATATCCTATTTTTAGTTGGACCTCACCTATTACTTACTTACTGTTGTCTTTCTCTTCTAGTGGAGCATGGGGCTTTAGCAAATCATCTAAATCTTACTATGTAATTTGAATGCAAAAGAACTGTCCATATTGAAGCTCCTAGTCCACGGTTCTTCACTATGTCTTAGCTGGGGCTACAGGTCGGCGGCTACTTTGTGGATTTCAACGTAAGCGTTGTTTTGTTATACAGGATGCTGGTTTCCTAAGCTTGTGGTCAATCCACTTTTATTTTCTTCTTTAGATTTCAGTAAAAACATGTATTTCTTTCGTACGTTCCCATAGATCAGTATTGGATATGCCCTCCGGCCACCATATTTTCAATATTCCTCTGAAACATAGTGTTTATGTACAGTTGGATGAGTGATTGAATAGAAGCCGACTTTTTCAACGTTTCCTTACGGTAGAACAACGTTGACTTGACGTTTGAGTTAAATATTACAAGATTACTTCTACTTATTTGATTAGACTTCCACACATTGCTGAACTATTCGAATGTTGAATTGGCTTTACAGCCGAGCCGAAACGTCATTTTCAGCACAACTTTTATTCGTGATAATACAACCAAGTATGTAAATGATTTTACGTGCTCACCTGGTCCCTATCTGTAATTATTAGACAATAAACTCGAAATAATAAGATTTTAAATATATAGAACTCTTATAAATAGGATATGTTTTGTTTTATTAAATGCAATAATATTAAAATTAAATTAAAACAGTTGATGGATAATGATCGCGACAAATCTTCTTCTCATAAAAACTCGCATTGACTACTCAACCGGAGATAGCATTTAACAATATCTCTTAAGCCATCCTTTGTGTTTGATCAATGAGGCTGTTTTACAAAAGTTTAGACTTGGCATATCCGAAGAAATCATAATACTATTATATATCTAATCAAAATAGATTCTTTGTCATGCGACTTAAAAATTATTGATATTAATTCTTTATGGGTGTGTTTTGCCAAGTTTTTAGAGCAACTGTCACTGCTGGATACAAGATGTACCGCCATCGAACAATAACAACTCAATTGAAGGTTGATTTGGCCAACTGGCCCACAACCGCAACTTTTTACCGACATTAGCAAATAGCCAAAGGCAGTTTTAAAAAAAACTGAAAGACAGCAGTCAACTTATTTGTTTTTGTATGATGTATGCAATAAAATAATAACAACATACATAAAAAACAACAACAATAACGTCTTGAAGAATTGAATTAGCGCCATCGGAGGAGCGCAATTGAAGCCGTAATTCATGTAGAAATGAAGTGCTTTCGTGTGAATTTTTGCTACTTGATTAATTAATAAACCATTAAATCATTTAAAGTTAATAAAATTGTTAAGTAAAATTATTGTAAATAAAAAACAATAAAAATGTAAAATTTCATTTAAAAATAAATACTTTGAAAAAACACAAAATTGACCTTAACTTTTGTTTTATTTTTAAAAGAATTGCAAAATCTTCAAAAATTTAATTCAAATTTGATACGAATGCAGCTGAGCCTCAAGGAAGCTGTACGGGTGTTGAGATGTTAAGATGCATATGTGGGCCGAGTTTTGTATAAAAAACTATAAAAGTTGCCATTAATCGTAAAATCAGCTTAATTTAATAGAAGCGTGCATAGACAAAAGTAATTCCATACGTTTTTTCTTCTAATAAAAAAAACAATGATAAGCAAGGTGAGTTCAAAACACTATGATAAATACTGATATAAATAAATATATTAAGATATTGTTATTTTCTTTTTCTACAGACACTTATAATACTCGTACTTACACTTAACATCTTCATTATCAACTGTCAAGCTGGTATTATTCCTGTGAGTGAAGTTTTAACGCACAGTCCACATGTAGTAGCTTCTGTAGTGCACAGTTCTCCATCGGCAGTATCGCATCAAACATATACACGCATACACAATCATGCTCATATTGAACCTAGAATTTTGACACCTACGGTACAAACATTTTCACTTTCAGAGCCAAAAGCAATCTTGGAAACAGTTGAAGCCCAAGTGCCAATGAGTGTTGTAGAATCTACACATGAAATACCAGTTGATCATCAACACTCCGCGGGTTTTGAACTAGAACAGAACAGTCACGAAACACCTATAGTCAAACCATTGACTTACACTCCAGCACATTTAACTTATGCCGCTTCACCGGTGGTATTCCAAATGTTGCCCAAAATTCAACCAGTGCGAACAATAAGTTTTGATTCTCTCATACCAAGTCCACGAAGCTATGCAGGAATTCATTAATTTTTATTTTGAAATTAAATGTTTTTAAATAGAACATTTACATATTATTTTAATACAATAACATATATTACAATAATTGTTTATCATTTTTTAATTAACATACCGAAAACTCATTTACCGCGCCACACTTCAATAAGTTCTTATTACTTAGTTGTCTTCCTTATATGCAAAAAATGGATAAAATTGTATTGATGCTTTTAGGGACTTACAACCTAAAATGCTTTAAGGATTGCATAGAATAAACAAAAAATAACCTAAGAATTTATTTTACTATTTCATGGAACATAAGGATTTAAGGCTAGGAAAGATAGGACCTATACTATCTTTCATCAAAGAAATCGAACTTGGAGACACACTTTAATCCGACTAAGGGGCAAAATAGATCTTTTAGATTGCAGAGTACTATCCCTTTTCCAAATAGAAATAAAGTTCCTAAATGTAGATAGTTAGTATCTGATAATCACAGGACGCATTAACCAAACAAACCCTTGATAATTAATTTATTATTTAATACCATCATTTAATAAGATAATATTAATAAAAGGATGGGAATCCAATAAAATAAGATTATCAGTAAATAGAAGAAGAAAAAATCTACAGAGTTCTGACTTATTACTGTAGACCACCGTCAAACAAAGCGATTTCTAATCGTAGCGAAGGAAATATTAAGTAGAATACTTTCTCTAAGCAGGATAGATCTGAAGACTCTATCTGGTTTCTTTATAGGTCACGACATCAAAGCACATTCTAAAAACACATTTTTTATACTTTAGCAGATAAAGCTTCACCACTTTGGTAATATTTAATCTATAGAACAAGTCTCAAACTGTACTATCTAAATATATTGAATTAAGGATCAAAGCTATATATAATAGATATATTCAAGTCGTTCAAAAGCGATATTCCAGGTACCTCTAAACTACATTACTTGGTGTAGTTAATGGACTATTGATTTGATTAAAAGTAACTTTTTTAAATATAAAAAAAATCGAGATGCCACAGTCAATGTTCTAGTAATAGAGATATGAACAAAGCTAATATTGAACCATGTGGAGTTGATTATGCTCTAGATGACTTTTGGTTTCAACTAAAATATGCTCTATTTAATATTACGGAAAACATCAGCGAGATATTAAGGAATTGTTTGATGAGTATAATGTCTTTAGAAGTTGAGAACTGGCTTGGACTACTTGATCGTGTGATTTACCATTAATAAAGCATTTTTCGTGTTAGCTATTATATTCATTGATCTATGGGAACACAAGTGGACACCGATTTTAGAAATGCGATATTAAAAAACGTCTGACTAATTTGCCTAAATAATGTTTGTCAGTTTGAAATGCTATGCTGTTTAATAAAGAACATATATAAAAAATGGAATGGAAAACTTCTCCGACCCGGTAAAAACAGTATGGTCAGTATATTTTGTACTGATCGTGTATTACCGTACTGATCATTTACATACAAAAATCCAAATTCTGTTATATTTATTTCTGAAAGGTAAATTCATAAAAATCCACAACTCATTAACTAATCTTTCAGCAAAAGTTATTGTTTATTACTCTGAAATACTTAATTACATTATTGTTCTCCAATTCCCTTCGTAATAAATTCAGTTAGTGCGAAAACAAAGGTTAACACATTATCTTCAAAGCATGTTAGTCAAATCATAAAATATTTTGGGTTGATACGAGAACTGGTACCAATACATAGTACTGAAAATTTATGAAAATACTAAACCAATCGAATCTAAAATTAAATTCTATTAAATTTCAAACTTTTATAATAGAATTATTAGGTAGTGATACCACAAATAGTATATTTAACAAAAAACTAAATTTAATGTGGTATTATTTTAAAAATTTCTCAAATGCATTAATGTTGGCAATAGATACCACTTATGATCACAGTGATCTCCACGACATATAATTTCTTCAAGGTTAAATCGTTCATACTTACAAATCATTAACCAATGAAGCGGTGATAAATTCGTTTGAAATCAGATATTCTACAAATTTTTCACACTTCAGAAAACTTTCCACATTAGCTAATAAGAAAGTATAAAAAGTTCTAGTTGATACGTAAAAATTATCAGTCTAACACTGGCATTTGCTTCAGCAATTATTATTCCATTTGTAAGTAGAACAGTTTAGAAAAATTGTATACCCAACAATGTTCAAACTGGTGAGTTCAGCATTATTTTATATTTAAAAATAATTAGTTAAATGATTAAAACTAACATAATTACAGTTACCAATTGCCATAGCCTTACTGGCAATAAGTGGAACCTATGCCGAGCTACGATTGCTGACTAAAACTCGTCTAACGGCACCTGCGACTATATTACCAACTATAACAAATACAGTTTTGGATGATGAAATGACCAGTGGTGGTGGTGGCAGTGCAGGTAGCGCAAATGGTTTAGGTGGTGCAGTTGGTACAAGTGGTTCAGGAAGTGCAGTTGGAGCAAGTGGTTCAGGGAGTGCAGTTGGTGCCAGTGGTGCAGGGAGTGCAGGTAAAGCGGTTGGTGCAAGTGGTGCTGGTAGAGCAGTTGGTACAAGTGGTTCTGGTAGTGCAGTTGGTGCAAGTGGTGCAGGTAGTGCAGCCGCTGCGCCTGCTCCGGCCCCTATAACACGCTCCAGAATTTTACTAACAACCACGAAACTGGCACCATCAATCCGACATCACATTTTGCCTGCCCAAGCGATACCATTACCTTTAACAATCTCCACACGTCCGGGATTGCGTACTGTGATTGCACCTGAAACCATAACCATACAACAAGCTGGTATAGCTAAAGTTGGAGAGGTTGTGCAAAAAATTCCCACTGCAGTTTCACATCAAAGTCAAACTATTGTACATAAGCATGCTGATGTGGTTACACCTATTGTCGCGCCTGCAGTTCGTACTATAACATCACAGGTTGTAAAGACCTACCACACTCCATTGGTGTATGCACCAGAACCTTCGTTTGTGCGTTTCCTAAAACATTGAGATTTGAAAAAGCAATATATTGTTTCAATTTTTTTGATATTTAGAACAACTATTATATATTAAAAACATTTTATATAATATAAAAACTTCACACCCCGAAATACTGCCCAATCAATGTTTTTTATATAGAATTACTGATACCGCATTTCCTATTATATTTATAATTTTTAAAGCACATTTTTTTGAGAAATATGGCAATTTTAAGTTTATAAACTATTTAAATATTAATTAAATAATTAATGTGTAAAATAATAAATACTGTATCTATCGTATAAAAAGAAAACACTTTATTCACTATGTTACTAAAAGGCAAGTAACTTAAGTCTTTCCTCTGTATTCCTTCTGAATTCCTTCTGTAATATTATTGTTGTTGCTCCCTGAATATCTCTGAAATATCTCCGATTACCACTTAACCATGCTAATATCCTTTCTTAAATTATCTTAAGTTTTCAGGTTGTTTTAATTTAGTGACTTTTATGCTTTTATTATCAAATACCATCTTAATTATACATTGTAATAAACCATTGTAATAAAGCAGATGTTTCTACTCTAGCAAAAACTTAAAGTTTAACCAATTTTAACTATTAAAAACAAAATTAAAGCCATAGAGACAAACAAATCATTGTACATAATATTCCTTTCCTAAACGGTATATTTGTACAACATAACTACGATCGGCGTAGGAAAGAACCTTCCTCTGCATACCCTCCTTAGCTACACTCTTGATATGGAATATCAATATGCCTTTAATATTCTTTCTTCAATATGGCAACCCATACATGTTTCTGACTACTCCAATATGTTACCAGAACTCAACTATGAGGATTTCAATGTAAAATAGAAGTATGAAATATTAATAGTCACGGTTCAATTATTGATTGTTCTGCTATTATGAGCAAAGTCCTTAATCACATTAATAGGTAATCATAGTCTGAGACTACGATGATCAAGACTCAACTACGTTCGTTAAGCTATTAATGTTGGTAATGATAATTTGAGACTTTAACACAATAAAATCTATAGAAAATATATAAATAATAATATATAATAAAATATATAGTAATATATTTATATAATAAAATGTATAAAATAAATGGAGTAGATTTGCATCGCAATATGGAAACATAATTCCAGTAATTAAAAGAGAGATTGGTCAGATTAAGAGGCTGAGTACTTAGAGATCGAAGCTTATCTAAGCTAGACAATAAAAGGTATCCACTCCAAAAAGTTTAAAATATAAATGTTTAAAGTCATTTTTTAAATTTATATGTATTAAGTCAAAAACATTCTCATAGAAAACTGTGCTTAACTCTAAGTTGATATATTTCTCTTCACAGAAATGTTAAGGTTAAAGGTAAACAAGAAGACTTGTCCAGAGACCATTGATAATGGATTTTTCACGATATCCGACATAGTTGTATGGTCAGACCAAGAATTTAATTGTTTGAAACACTTTTTTTTTGAAATTGGTTTTCAAAATTTCCTCACTATAACAATCCTTTTCTATTTGACATTAATTGATCAATTTAAAGTACATAAAATTCTAAATTAATAAAGAACAAAATAACATATATATAAATATTCTTGAAACTTAAACAAGAAAGTTTAATCAAATTATTTTCAACATAATCGGTAACCTAAAAGTACTGTGACATCTAAAATTTTCAGAAATCTCTTCTTCGAGTATTTCAAATGCGTTTTAGTTGATGACAAAATCTGAATTGGATTTCGGTAATGTGAAGTGACTAGTTGCGAAACAGTTTCGTAAAACAATAATAAAAATCATAATTGCTTATGTCATAATAATAAAAAAAAAGATAATTCAATACGCTGACGTAATGAAAACATTAAAGATTACAACGCGAGGTTTCTTATCGAATTACGAGACTTAAGTTTCGTGGCTGAGAAACCAGTCAAGTCCTTCTGTTGCATAAAATTTTATAAAAACATTAAACGAAGTGCGAAGATAAAATTGTTCCATGTCAGTGGCAATTAAAATATTTTAAGTTCAATAAAATGGTGAGCCGGAGTGGGAATTAAGTTATTAAGAAATACGTCACAACTTGGAATATTTTTAGCACACCTATTAAGCGTGTCCTTCATGAAAGGACACAGGAGAGAAGCTATTCCAATCCAGATTAACCAAAAACCAGAGTAAAAAATAAAATAGGAATAAAAATAAAATTTCATTAATTAGGAAGACTGTCCGTGCCTTATGGGACGGTAACGTTGGCAATGAAAATAAACTTAATTAAAAATTTTTAAAGAACTCAAGCAAAATTTATTTTTGACATAATTTCACAATTTTCCGGATAATGCAGTTTAGCAATGCCATTAATACCAAAATTATTTCTTATAAGCAGTTGCTGTGTAATAAAATGGTAAGCCATAGTTGTAGCCAATGTGGGCGTAGTTTGGTCCAGTGTAAGTGTCGAAAGAACGTAATTGAACAGGATAGTGTGCTGCATTCTCATGCACATAAGCAGCGGCTGGACCCAGACTAGCATACGTTAAAGGTAAAGGTTGTAACAATGGGGAGTGTTCTATAACTGGAGCGGCATAAGTACGTACCGCAGGTGCGGTAAAAGAACGTACTGCTGGTGCTACGATTGGAGTAACACGCTGTGCACGGCTATGCACAATAGTGGAACTCTGATGTGAAACTGCAGTTGGTACATTTTCGACTATATCGCCCACTTTCGCCAAAGTAGGCTCATGCACTTGTACATGAGTTGGTTCGGCTACAATTGCTGATTTAATGACTGGTATGGTAGCCGGTGAGAAACTTACAATTTTACTAGGTTTCGCTTCAATAACAGTAACATCACTAGACGCAGCTGAAGAAATTGCTAATAAAGCAACTAAAATACACTGGAAAAAACAATTTTATATTTTATTTGTTTTATATAACTATGTTTAAATTTTTAATTATAATAACTTACAATTTTAAGCATCATTAATTTTTTATATTAAGTAATCTTAAAGTTCCTCACTCAAGTTTCAATTTCTTACTGAACTGAAAAGGGTTTTCAATTTAGCTTTTATATGTTAGTAAACCCTACAAAAAAAATAAAATAAAATCAATTTTTATTTAAAAATAGAACTAGAACTAGACCGATCATCGGTTAATAAAACAACAAACTGACGCTCAACTCTTAGCAAAATATAAGCAATTTGCAACACAATGACAAACATTAAGCCCACTTTGGCTTGCATTGTTATATTTTGCGGCAAGCTATCAACTTTTTACATCTGCCATATATGTTGATCACAATTCTTGATCGTTATTTGTCCATGAAACTGAATTGTACATTACTTTCGCCGGACGTTGCTCCTTTGATTTCCTATTTAAACTCAACAGTCGCGTCAACTCTTGTTACATTTCCATAAGTACCATGAGTACAAGAGCAAACCATAACATAACATAAATACTTTAACATAAATACATTTAATCCAGATTGTTCTGTCTTCAGCGTAATCACTTGAAGATCACTTGGCAATCATTTGGTACTAGAATCCTACAATCGTATCAATTTATCGCTCATATGAATTTCAATTTGCAAAACGTAAGTAAACTTACGCAAAGTATCTGTAACGCAACTGATTGCGAAAACAATTTCAACAATTGTTTTGTTGTAAGATTCTGACTCTGAGTTCCTTTGGGACTCATTCAATGTTTATGCTTTGATTCTAGATACTTAAGCCATTTGTATTACTGCCCACATACCAAAAAATTACACCAAAGCCGATGACATAGCCAGGCACTAAGACGACATATTGCGATCGTTCTGAATTCAAATTGCAGGCTTCAGTCGGTTTTTTGTTGAATCTTGTTAAATTCTTAACATTAATATAAAGAAGAGAAGATAAGTGAATACTGTGATTCCAAAAAAGAATGCTCTAAAAATTGATGACATATGTAAATTTATATATAGATATGCGGTTTTTCTTATTATACATATTATAGTATTGTCTAAAGAAATTAATGCTAAAAATGTTACAGCTTTGCATTAACGATAAATATTTTTAGAATAAAAAAATTTAAAATTTTTTATGAAATATAAAGGTTTTTTCGAACAGTAGTGAACTACAACAACAAAAACTCATTTTTATATTATTTTAATTAATTGAATTTTTGACTGACCATACAGCTGTTTCGAGTATTGCCAAATACCCATTATCAGTGGTCTTGGAAAAAAATTTTGTATTTTATTATTCGTAAATAATTTTTTGAGACTACAAGTACTAGGAATCCAACTCGTGCCCTGCCAAATTTAAAGCTCAGAGTCAGCGCTTCTTAACCAACTGAGCCAAAGTCGTACTTGACCTTTATGTTCGCACATTTTTCTGAAGTTTTGTTAGTTTGTTGTGAAAGTTTTATTAACAAATTCACTTGATGTGTTTATATTAGAACGAAATCATAAACCAGCTGTAGAAAAATTAAATTAATTAATTTTATTTTTATTTTTTAATTGGTAAATTTCAATACTATTCTGTTTGTAGAGGCATTATAATAATTAGAAATAATATTTATTAAAGCTGCGAGAGATAAATACATCATATATTATTATAACCTTTAAATTGTGAGAAAGAACAACGGTCACTCATAAAAAATTGTTGCATTTAATACTATGAATAACGAATTATTTAAGTTACTTTTCTTCTATGCAGAAAGAGAAGAGTGGACTTTTTAAAGCAAGTGCTGATTTTATACCTTATTACATATTACCAGCTACATCCAAATATTTATTATTATACATTCCCTTTTTTTTGGAGTAGGTAAAAAGCATCAAATTCCACAGGTGAGACTCACACCCACTAAAACCACTTCATAGGAATGATTAGAGAGAATTACCACAGCAATATGGAAGCTTCACTTCGGTCCTAAGGATTCACTTAGATCTGTTGTTCTATTTTAAAGCTAAAGCCGTATAAAACTCTTAACGTTTAAGACCAAATAAAGGTAAGATCTGAAAACTGTTAAACTCCATTTTGCAGAACATGAGTTATT